GCTTTAGCCTTATAAGTATAAATGTTGTTATCTATGTTGCACATGCTGTAGAAACATTTGGAAGGATTGTAAGGTGCCTTAGCCTTATAAGTATAAATGTTGTTGTCGATGTTGCACATGCTGTAGAAACATTTGGAAGGATTGTAAGGTGCTTTAGCCTTATAAGTATAAATGTTGTTATCTATAGTGTAAAGCAGCCAATGACTACTCTACCAGTGCTAGGGGGATCCCTTGTCTTCTGTACATGTGTAGAAACATTTGGAAGGATTATGAATTATGGGAGGTGTTTTTTGTGTTTCATAAATAAAATTGTTTCACTGGTTAACAAGTCATACAGTGGCAATAAAGTTCTAAATTATAAAAAAAAAACAAGTCATACCGTGGGGTAATTTATTACAGCAAGTGACAGAACAAGTTCGTGTAATACGTGTAAATAAACAGTCACATGCTGTAGAAACATTTAGAACATTTAGAAAGATTGTATGGAGGTGCTTATTTTCGTATGTTAGATCATTTATGTCAGATCGGAGTTATAGCATGATGTATGAATCAAGTTGGCATTCTGCTTTACTCTTGTCTTATCACTATGTGGAGTTATAGATAAGTTGTATGCACACTAATACTAATGTACAAGAAACACAACCATCAATAGGTGTATGTTACAATGATATATATGACAATGTCATAATATCATACAGTTCAACATTCATTAGTTATCTGTCATTTTTTCCTCACTCACAACTTTGATTATCAACCAGAATATACTCTTCTGCAAAAATATGTGATATTTGGTCAATGAGAACTATGAGTTCTTGTTATTATTAAAAAACGGAGGTCAATTATTCTTGTATCTCATTTGCGTTCTTTTATTGTCTACACCTACGATTAAACGCTAAAGGTGTACCTGTCCTGTATCTCATTTGCACGTCAGTCAGGTATGCAAAAGTGTATGAAAAAAGTATAATTGCTTATCGCTTCTTTTAGGTTTACGACTGTTAATTTCCCTTGTGTTATTGCTGATTCATTTAACCAATGTTTCGGGAACAAATCGAGTAGATAAGATAGTACGGAAAGTTGAGTGATAGATAAAACTCTCTCAGTTATTTGTTAAGAACACAGGCAAGCGCAGCCAATCTTTAATCCACACCATAGGCATCCTTTGGATGGTTTTTTTTTTATTCCTTGAATGAGTTTCCACATACTATACTGTACATAAAATTCTGTTATTATTATAAAGTTTGCATCACCGCACCGCTAACATCTTGCTTTGCCTGTTTACAATAAGTTGTTCTGACAGTTAATATAATATAAACCTTGATGCATGTGCCAATTACGCGCGATATACCTATAAAATGTCAAAAATCAAACCGTCTGCATCTATAGTGCAAGCACCAGCTGGTGTAGAATAATGGGCAGAGATTTCGTTACTGTTGTCAAAATGGACCCGAAATTCAATGAACCGACGACACATCCTCGAATCAGTGTTCGAATGGGAGAAGGAATTGAGAGCACGTGATGATGGAACTTAATAACGGAAGAACGGTCAACAATGGTAATTATTACAACATACAATACTATCGATCAACCCTAAATAATGACCCCCAACATGACAAGCCTTCATATGGTGACTAGGCTAATAAAGGGATGGAAGGTGAGCTAGATAGAAAAGCAGGAGTAAGAGAAGATAACAGTATAGGAGATAGGTGGATGGAAATAAAACGCTTCAATGTCCACTACATAATCGAGTTTATTCCAATTCAATTTTGCAAAAGACCTTATTTGCTGTACATATTTTGTCAGATCCGATACAACGGAATATGTCATAGTCATAAATTTTCGCGCCTTTATAAATTTTATTATTTATGCATCAATTGATAACAACAAATACGCTGTATTGCTATGAGTGAACAACATAGATCATATGCAATGTCATACATATATGGGCCAAAAGCATTTCAAATAGTCCATTGAACATGGTACAAATCAATTTGAATGGGGTTTCGTAGAGGTGGTGACGGAATAACGAAATTAGCTCGCATCCCGTAATAAAGAACATTCTAGTTGAATGTTGATAACGCGCTGTAAGTTCCACCAGAATCAACCGCTCCAAATTCATACTGAATAAAAAAATATCTTTAAATTTATTTGCTAAAAAGTACATAGTAATATAACATACCATTCATTGTGGGATTAATGCGCCATCAGCCGTTACATTATCTCTACAGTAAGTAGTGCCATGACTATTGAAAATAAAAACCGTTTAGTGTTAAAGCAATTGAGCAGAAATCCAATCATCTTGTCATTACTTACATGTACACGACCTGGGCGAAGCCAATAATCCTCTACTTTATTTCTGATGTAGGCTTCAGACGCTGTATTCGCAACTTCCCAGGGCTGATCCTAAAAACATGTAGAGTCATTGTCAACGCCAGAAATTTAAGCCAATCACGTCAGGAAATGAAGTTAACTCTTCATACTCTTCCGTCAGATCCACTGGTCGAAATAAACCATCCGGTTGTTCGCCTGATTCTCGAGATTTTGTTGATTATCCAGTTAGTAATAAAAATATATATAAAACAAACAAACCGCTCACTTGTTGATCCTAATGTCATTATTAGTACCCTTCACACCAACAACTGCACTCACAAATTTTCCGGGCAATGGCACTAATTGCGATCACGTGAAATTCCGTAGGAAGTTGAATTACACGAACTGTCCCGGCTTCCCATTCCCAACAGTTGCTCTTCCATTTTTTCAATAAACTCTTTCCAGGAGATGTTGGTAGCAAGCTCATATGGTAAACTTTATAATTAATAACAGAATTAGCTCATAGATAATAAGTTGTCAAAGCAAATAGGAAAGAAACTTGCTTTGCTTCCTCCTATTTAGCTTTCGAGTGCCTTTTACCAGTTTTCCACCAATATCTATGATATTGTTTCAACTTGCCGGTTTCCTTGACATTAGAAGCGGAAGTTACAAAGGTTGTCTGAAAGCTGTTTGTTCTAGTTGTCATACTTCTCCAAAGAATAATAAAATCCGTATCCGTATTGTTTCTGTAAATAGGTGCTATAAGTACAAATATCAACTTTAGGCAGCCCATAGGCCGACACGTCATTTGATCTTTCTTTCGGAAAGCAGAGTCTGCGCCGCCAGCATAGTGTAGTGCAGGTAACATAAAACATCGACTTACTTAGGACTGAATTTGCTAACGGTAATATCTTTTAAATATCGTTATTCCTCAATTAGTACGCAGCTTATTCGTACAAATTAGGATCATATTTGGCGGAGGCGGATGATGACAAACTAACCGTTGACATCAAGAAATATTTAGCGACATTCCAATTGTATTTTGTTCGGCTATATAATACCTTTCTTGGGGTTTACTCTTATTTGAGTTTTCAACTGACCAATGTCAGCAACTAATTCTTGATTGCTTAAGTCTCTTTTTCTATCTCTGTCACTAATGTATTGCACATTCTTAATCGGTCGCGTCTTTGTTTTCAAACCTTCTAGATTCTTCTAGCCGTTTCTGGATAACATTCTTCTCATGTTTTTGTTGTGATAAGGCGAGTGGTCAACGTTAAATATCATGGAGATAAGGAAACTCCGTACGCACAAAAACAACATGTGATAAAAGCGTAAAATTGAAAAGGCAGACTCGAATATTGTTGCTAGACTATATTGTGTGTCGAAGAATACATTGTGTATACAACTTGAGTGCTGTTGGAATAATGAAAATAAAAAGGGCCGATCGAATTACATGATATGTTGAATTTACCATATACGTAAACTCGCACATAATGGCCTAACTTTCAGGCAATATTTGTCAGTTGGTAACGTAGCGAAATGAATACGTTACAATGCAGTTATTGTGTTTTATTGTAGAAACTATTGATATACATATATCATTTGATATGATGACAATGCTAACATGAAACTAATAAAAATGAATGTTCGTGAAATGATTAATGTGTTGTGTTAACAATAACACCGACTCGTTTAACTGATCTCGACTTTCTTTGGTTGAACTTCCTCTGCCTTGGGTATCGTGACTTCTAGTACGCCATCATTGAACTTGGCAGAGACTGCATCTGTATTGATATTATTGGGTAGACCAATGGTTCGAGAAAAGCTACCATAGCGGCGTTCTTGCACGTAGACATTGCCTTCTTGGAAATTGTTATCTTGTTTGGCCTCACCCGAAATTACTAGTGCATTGTCATGTAGATCAAGATTAATATTCTCTTTTTTAACGCCCTGTATTTGTGAAAAAAAAATACGTGTGAGTCAAATTCAAAAATATACGAATTAGTTGCTAATCCATAGATAGCATACTTACAGGAAGCTCGGCGTTTACGAGATATTCCTTATCCGTTTCATGAACATCGATAACTGGCTTCCATCTGCTTGCACCACTATGACCTCTCGAAGCAACATGAAGGTCTCCAAAGTAGTCGTTGAAGAGACGGTTCATTTGAGATTCGAGACGACCGAATTCAGGAGTCAAGTTTATGAGAGACATCTTTGTTTGGGTGTTTTGCGAGTTTGTTTTATGTTTGGTAGCTGTATTTGTAGTTGTTTTGTTGTGTTGTTGTTTTTTTGTGTTTGTATTTTGTTGAGACAAGTGCCTCGTCCAGCGGGTCTATATATACATGTTCGCTAGGATCATCCTCGAACATTCTCGTAACATCACATCATTCATTAAATTTCTAGTACATTCTTGTTTGGATATGATCTGCAATCGAATTTTTTCCCGTAGGGGCGCTGAACATCATGATTTTTCTAGTAATACAAATTAGAGTTGCACACGTGAAGTTAGATCTCGATCGCCATTTACGCACATCTCGACACATCTTTTTGAAGAACTTCCCTTCTAGGTTATACTTGTTTTGTTACGATACGATCATGGCACCACATCCGACTACTGATTGGATGCAACTGCAAGACCGCTTCTACAGGTAAATGTCTAATTATAATTAAACTGTATATTTTGATTACGATTATCTTTGAATTAATAATGATGCCGTTCATACAGGAAGCAGGAAATATACACAATGTCGTGGAAGCATATGGATCTATCCAAGTTCATGGTTGCTGGTGCTTCGTATGGTGGTCCAATAGGTAAATTTTGGAGTGATTAGAACAAATTGTGAGCACATTTACGATCATTCCCAGTGTCAATGCTGTCAATTGACATGCTCACGTAAATGAGATGGGTAATGGAGAGTCATGTTGCCTATATTGTGTAGCAAAACTAGTATTTGCAGGGGTTAAACGAAAATAGTACTAAATATCCCATCATCCTCTTCACGGCTCTTTGTTACTTAGCAATGATACGCGATGAAAAGAAAGTTCAAGTATTTCAATCGAAACAACCGTTCAAACCTACTATCTATCTCTACACCTCTGCGGGAAAATTGATGGAACAATTGCAAGTATGAAATCCTATCATAGCAACTACATTGTATTTGAGAAGAGAGTGTCGGGTCATACTCGTTATAATTAACATTTTCGGAAATGCTATGTCATTCAAGTGGGATAAAGAACGTATAGTAACCATGGGTTGGACAGATACAGAGCGATTGATTGTCGTCTTGGAAGATGGTAAAATATGCCTGTACGACGTGCATGGAGAACATACACAAATATCTCTTGGGAAGGTAAGAAAGGAATAACACGATCGCGAAACAGTTATGCTCAAAAATGTCAGCATTAACCATATCAACATTTTCGTAGGAAGCAGAAACTAGTTCTGTCATAGATTGTCAGATATGGGGAAGTGGATTAGTAGCCTTGACTGGAGATTTTAAATTGGTGGCGCTGACTAACTTTGATGAGCCTCGTCCTCGGCTCATGGCTGATCCTGGTATCTGAGTACATACATATTAATACTTTTGAGCGATTCAAAGACAAGTCTGATTGGTAGTTAGAGGAACATTTAGAATTTTTTTTAACTCATTTATTTATCTTCCACTTTATAGGTTTGAATGAACCGCCGCACAGTTGGACCGTAATTCCTCCCCAATTTACGCTCAGTCGTCACGTGGAAGTACTCTTAGCTACGGGCACAACAATACTGGCCGTCGACCAAATAGGAGCAGTTGACCAGGTTACATCCATTACAGCATTTTCAGATGACGGCGTACAAACTGCGTATATGTATATACTAACATGATAATAATACTTCTATATCATCAGCTAATAACGCAAGGACCATTTACCAAAATGGCAGTCTCACCCAACGGGAAGTTTCTTGCTCTATTTACTCAAGATGGCAGGCTGTTGGTATTCGCATCCGACTTTTCAAAGAATCTTACGGAATTTCCCACAAAATCAAAGAAGCCTCCTAATCAACTCGTTTGGTGCGTATTTTGAACGTGTTATTGATTTGGCCGATTTTTTCATAGAACTCATTTAGAACAATGGCACCTATAAATACTATGCTAGGTGTGGAACCGATTCAGCTGTCTTGTATTGGGATAATATTGTATTAATGATTGGTCCTTTTGGCGATTTTATCAAATACTCTTACGACGAAACTATTTATTTGATTCCTGAAGTGGATGGTGTGCGCATCATTAGCAGTGACAAGTGCGAATTCTTGCAGAAAGTTCCTCGTACGTAATATCTGTCAACATGTGTAAATAATTAATTATATTTTGACACTAACACACATTATACGTTTGCTGCAACAGGCGAAACTGAAGATATATTCAAAATTGGATCAACAGCACCAGCAGCCATGTTATTTGATGCATTGGAACACTTTGAGGTATGAAAAATGCAGACATTAAATTTGCTGATAGTACCAACGTTTATTCGCCAATATTTATGCACTAGACGACCATATATTTATATCCTCGAAATTGACAACTTTTTTTTCAAACAGAAAAAAAGCCCCAAAGCGGACGAGAACATACGCAGCATTAAAACGGAATTAGCAGATGCAGTAGACGACTGTACCAAAGCAGCTGGCCATGAATTTAGTACGGATTGGCAAAGAGCATTACTAAAGGCAGCTTCATTTGGCAAGGCCTTTCTCGAATCATATAATGTGGATAACTTTGTTAATATGTGTATGTCGTTGAGAGTATTGAACGAAGTTAGATATTATGAGGTTGGAATACCAATAACATACGAGCAGTAAGTATGCTAATAATTGATTTAGTAATTAAAAAAGAAATTGGTATTATATGAAGTTCATGCTTATTGCTCTTTCAGATATCGGAGAATGAGTCCGGAGGTGTTAATTGACCGATTAGTAAATCGGCATCACCACCTACTAGCATTACGAATCTGCGAATATCTAAAGATGAGGACAGACCGAGTGCTTATTCACTGGGCGTGTGCAAAAGTTAGAACAATATTCATAGATGGTATTTTCGTCGTATACAGTCGTACACAGAATTAACATATAAACTTCCATAGATAACGAAATCAACGGATGATGAGGAGACTATCTGTCTAATGATAGTTGACAAATTGGCCAACAAACCCGGACTTTCTTATGCAGAAATAGCCAAGACTGCATACGAAGTTGGTCAACCTAAGCTTGCTACAAGAGTATGCATATTCTAGTGGTAGAACTTGGTTTTTTTTCCGAGCTAGAGAAATATTCACTAAACAACTTTTTTTTTCTCTCGTAGTTACTTGATTACGAGCCTCGTGCAGCAGATCAAGTACCGTTATTGATGGACATGCAAGAAGATGAAGTGGCTCTTGAGAAAGCTATTGAGAGCGGAGACACTGATTTAGGTGTATATATATATATATTATTGATATTGTTGGTGAGGCGATATAGTTTATATCGCCTTGTGGGATATTTTTACTAACCGGCTGATTCCATTGTGTTTTAGTATACTTGGTTATTTTACATTTGGAAAAGAAGTTACCACCGTCAGAATTTTTCCGTATCATAAACAAGCCGATGGCTTGTAATTTATTGGAAGTTTACTTCAAACAACAGGATTTGAAAATCTTAAACGACTTTTATTACCAAGATGATCGAAGAGTTGAAATCGCCAACATAAGAATTTTGGAAAGCTACGAAAAGACAGTTAGTATAAATTTAGAAATTACTGTTTGGCAATAGCATACGTGCTAATACGAATGAACCAAATTTTGTTATAACGGTAGTTTCTGTTTTGCACGAGCTAATTATCTATGTTTACTTTAGGATCTTACTGATAGGATTAATAAATTACGGGAAGCATCCAAGTGGTATCAAGATGATAAAGAACATGGATTTGAAGCAAAGGTATAGTCGATTATTGTTGAATCTACTTGAAGGTTATTGACAAATTTTAACATAATGTTTGGTCATCTTGTTAGGCCGTAGACGAACATATTCGATTACTTCAGAAACAAGCTCAATTGGAGAAGGATATTGACGGTCAGCTAATAGGATTGCCGCTTAATGAGACTGTGCATAAGTGTATTTTAGCCAGAGAATGGAGCAAGGCAGACAAATTGAAATCCGATTTCAAGATTCCGGATAAGCGGTATGCACAGCCTCCGCTTGTACTTGACGCGCAGGTTGTGAATCAACATTTAATCGATTATATCTGTCGTCTTTTTCTTTGTCACTGTAGGTTCTGGTGGATCAAAATAAAAGCATTTGCTGAGATGAGGGAGTGGGATGAATTGGACAAACTCTCAAAATCTAAAAAGTCTCCAATTGGATATGAGGTATATTTTCTACGCGTTATATAAATTTGCATTTCAATAGGTTGTTTCACCAATCAGTTTTCTTACATACGTCTCAAACTGCCAGCCATTTGTTGAGGCATGTATTAAAGCCATGCAAACCACTGAAGCAGCCAAATACATTCAAAAGTGTGATCCGGCTGTTCGTCCAGGATTATTTATTAAGATTGGTGATTTTAAGGCAGCTGGTCAAGAGGCATATGCATCGAAAAACATCCAATTGCTCGGGTAAGTCTGTAGCAATCTGTAGATACCCATTGGTTTGCATTAAATTTGTATTGACACGTTCTTGTACGCTTTCCCGTTCTGCAGAGAAATCAGGAATAAGTGTACAAACCCTGCTATTGCTCAAGAATTGGAGGGGTGGATAAATCAACTACAAAATCGATAGGTTATTTTAGTAGCATATAAAACTTTTAATATTATTGATTACTTTATTATATAAAATAAATGAATATTTAATTGATATGGACTGATTAATATTTTATTAGTTGGGCATGTTTGCCATACTCATATTCATCGTATATTTAATATACAAATAAGGCAGAGTTCGTGGAGGAACTACTATTATTGGGACCGAATGTCATATTGTAACGCCTGCCATTGTCTGTGCATTGTAGTCGGAACAAAACATTATTGAATATCTATTATGGTATTAGCACCAACTAGGTGATGCAGGGAACGAACTTTCCTGTAGCGCGCGAGATATGCTAAAGTGATCTATTACGATGGTGTCTTTTCCGAAATTTTCATACGAGGCAAACTGATCACGTGAGAAAAGAGAGGCTGATGTGGCTGAAAAGTTACTAATAGCAT